GATAATATATATCATAATCACATAATGGGTCGGCCTTGGTGCCTTAAACCCATGGGTATGGTGAGAATACTCACATCTGTCTGTTGAATACAAAAGCTACTCTCCTAACAGTCTGTAACCTCCTGTGCTGAATAATAGTATTAGATAAGGTTAGGACTTTGAATAACCAAAGGAAACCCAACTCCCAACCCGTCCATAAGGCCTAATTATTCATCCCTTGCTAATGGGCCCAAAGTCCAAGTCCAAAATCCTTAATGGGCCTCTTGCCCAATAAACCCAATCAATATATCCATGGCCCACAACAAAATGGTATGACTCATATTTCTCAGAATACACCATGCCCAATAATCAAATGAGGCCCAAAAAGCTCAAAGGCCCAAAACAGATTCGGCTCATCTGCAATGCGTACGCTCAGCGTACCATCCTGGTACATGCAACGTATTGGGAATCAGGGACTTACGCGCAGCGTACATCGGTCTACACCCAGCACACTAACAGGTTAAGCACTTTTCCCATTAAGTGTTGAATACTCGATTCTTTTACGTCCAGAAGTCAGATCTAAGTCTATTAAGACGACCTAAGGCATAAAGTTGGCAACTTTATGCGCTTGCATGTCTCAAATGCTCCCAACACCCTCATTAACACCTTTTTAATGCTCTTAGCCCATGCATGAGGTCAAAACACCCACCAAGACTCCATTTTTATGGTTCTAAAGGACCAAGGGACCTCAAGTCTGTCTTTCCCATCTTCTGGAGTTGCTTAACTCACAATGGAGGTCCAAAATCAACCAAAAGGGACAAGGTAGAAAGCCCTAGCTACATATAGAGATTTAAGATGAAAGATCCAAGATTTTTACCTCCTGAAGCTTTGCAAGATGACTATGATGCAGGATCTTGAAGCACCAACTCGTTCCAAGCTTGTTTAACCACCTCTCCTTCTTAGAATGAACACTAAAAGAGTCACAAATGCACTTTTCAAAGCTCAAAATGGTCTCACAAGTTTCTTTGGTGTGTAAGTACGTTCTAAGGTAGTGGAGGCTCTCTAGGGTTAAGTCCAAGGGACTTAAGGTCGCTTAAATAGGCCTCATGTCTGAAAATTACAGTTTTGGACCCCTGTCATGTACGCCCAGCTTACGGCTTGGTACGCCCATCGTACCTCTAGTTCCTCCGCGACCATTCATGCATAGTACGCTAAGCGTACACTTAAGTATGCCCAACATACTTAAAGGCCCAATTTTTCTAAAATGAAATTCTTGAGTGTTTTAAGACATACCAGATTTAGGGTGTTACAACTCTCCCCCACTTGGACTAGACTTCATCCCCAAAGTCCGTAGCTGTAAATAGATCGAGGTAATGCTCCCGCATCTCCTCCTCTAGCTCCCAAATCCACTCGGAGGCCTTTCGGTGCTACCATTGCACCTTTACCAATTTTACTTCCTTGTTCCGAAGCCCCTTTGTCTTCCTGTATAGGATGGAGACCGGCCTCTAGACATAATTCAAGCTCCCATCCACCTGAATGTCATCCAAGGAGATAACCGCAGACTCATCAGCAAAACACTTCCAATGCTAAGACATGTGGAAGGTGTTTTGAATCTGACTAAGCTCCTCTAGAAGCTCTAAACGATAGGCCACCTTGCCCATTCGGGTCGTGATACTGAACGATCCTATGAACCGGGGCCCCAACTTTCCCCTCTTTCAAAAACTGATAATCCCCTTCTAGGGCAACACTTTCAGCAATACGAAATCCCCCACTTGAAACTCGAGATTCGAGCGCCGTCAGTCAGCATAACTTTTCTGACAACTCTGCGCGACTTGCAACTGGTCGCGTACCTACTGAATCAATCCGATAGTTTTGAGCACTACCTCGGTGCTCACCATGACCCGATGTCCAAACTCATCCCAACATACTAGGGTCCTGCACCTCCGGTCATATAACATCTCGAATGGGACTCGATCAATACTTGCATGATAATTGTTATTGTACGACAACTTTGCTAGTGGAAGGTATGTGTCCCAACTCCCGCCAAAATCCAGCACACATGCACGGAGCATGTCTTCCAACGTCTGGATCTTCCTCTCACTCTGACCATCGGTTTGAGGGTGATACGCCGTACTGAAATGTAGCTGAGTGCCCAATTCCTCGTGGAACTTCTTCCAAAACCTGGAAGTAAATCGGACATCCCTGTCGGAGACTACAGACATGGACACCCCATGACTAGCCACCACCTCACGAATATAAATATCTGCCAACTTCTCCGCAGATATACTCTCGGAGATCGGAATAAAGTGGGCGCTCTTCGTTAGTCTGTCTACGATCACCCATATAGCGTCCACTCCCCTCGCTGTCGTAGGCAACTTCGTGATGAAGTCCATGGTGATTTCCTCCCACTTACACATGTGGATGGGTAGTGGTTGAACCTTTCCATGAGACCGCTAATGCTCGGCCTTAACCTTCCTACAGATCAAGCACCACTCCACGAACCAGGAAATCTCCCGCTTCATGTAGGGCCACCAATAACTCAGCCTTAAGTCCATATACATTTTCATAGTTCCTGGGTGTATAGAGAGCTTGGACTTGTGCGCCTCCTCTAATAACCTGTGTCTTACTCCCCCTGTCACTGGTACCCATACCCGACCACACTGCATCAAAAGGTCGTGGCTATCCTTGACAAACAAAGGATATTGTCCCCAAATTTTCTCTATCTTCCAGTCCTCCTTCTTCTCCCCTTCGACTTGGGACTCCCTGATCATATCCAACAAAGGTGAAATCATGGTCATTGGTGGTTGTCGAGGCCAACACAAATAATAACCCTAAATGTTACACACTAAAATAGTGTATAGTGGTAAAGGGATCGAATCCACGGAGATTGGTTCAATTTCTAACTCTATGAAAAATCTCTTTGTAAAAATACTTGTAAAATAACAATAAAAATAAAATGGGGGGTTTTTGGTGTTTTGAAATACTTGAAGCTAACTAGAATTAACTATGATTTAAATAGACAATTGCAACAAAAATAAGAATTTGATGTAAAATCAATAAGGGAAAGATGGTTGACTTAAAGTTTTCTCACTTTGACTTTTGATGAACATATCATTAGAATTCAATGATGCAATACTTGTTTTAAATCCTCAATCTGGCTATAGTAATCCAAGGAGCTTGAGATTACCTAGACTTTTCTTAATTGTTGAAATGGCTAGAGAAGCTCATAACAATTTCCTTAGTCAAAGTCACTAATTCCAAATAGCATGTAATTAGTGAAAGTCAACTAGCATTAAGAACCAAAAAGTCACCAAATCCAAGAGGGGTCAAATGCTTTCACCACCATGTTGGAGGAAATGTTTTTATGATTGTGTGAAGTAAAAACAACACAAAAATCATTTGTTGCTTGCTAATTTGAGGATCCTTTACTTAATCAAGAAATTAGCCAACTAATCACCACAAACACATTTAAACTCATGAACTAAAACATACAAGTAATGATAAGATGTTAAAACACAAAACATTTCCATAAAGATTCAAGAACATGTTCATGGATTCTTCAACATTCAACAAAAGTTCAAAGGATTAAACAAAAGTCAACCAAGATTAGTTTAGCCAAGCATGGCTAAACACAAAGAAACAAAGTTAGAGAAATTTGTACCAAACATTAAGCAAGAATCAAGAGGTAAAAATATGATGTTCTTCAAGGGTTCTTGGCCTTCAAAAGTCTCCAAAACTCCAGAGAGAATCTTCAAAAATCGGGGGTTCAAGAGTATGCAAAAGATGGGCACCAACCTTCCTCAAATAACTCAAAAGAAGGATTTCCGAAATTGCCCCTGCAGGGCCTTGCGCGACCCGCGTGCTGCTGCGCGGGTGGGTTGCGCGGGTGGTACCTGACATGGGCTCCTTTGAGATTTTGGGCCTCTAAAGCATATCCCACTAGCCCAGATCGAATCCAATCACCTCCTAGCCCATTTTCTTCAAGTTTTTCTTCATTTAAAGCCCAATTTGACCTCTCTAAATCCTCCAAAGCTCGTGAACTCGCCCGATTAATAATTTTCATACGCTTGAATGTTCCCCCGCATCTTTCAAATTTAAAGCTCAATTCTTCAAGCTTCAAGCAATTGACAAGTCCACCCCATGAATCACCTTCATAGCCATCAAGCATGAAATCTCCAATTCCCTTCAAGCCCAATCGCCTCACAAGAGTGCCGCCCCGCTAGTTTCCAAGAAAATCTGCAATAATGCTCAAGAAACTAGAAAGTACCCCGAAATGGTCATAAAAATAACAAAAGGGAAAATATGCATGAAAGTTAACTAAAATGCGAATGAAATGTACTAAAATAAACTATAAAAATAAGTAAATAAAATGAAGCTATCAAATCACCCCAAGCTTAAACCTTACTTGTCCTCAAGTAAGACAAGACTAAATGAACTTGGGAAGAACTACCCTAGAAATAAAAAGAATGGATAGAACCATGGAACCTGTTCGACGTTAGTCAACATGGTCAGAATTGATTTCGCCGCTATCTCACAACTTTTTCATCCGATGACAATGGAACCATAAACCACAGCCAGGACAACTCCTTTAGGTGAGTAAGGAGGGATGAGCAGTCGCAGCCTCAATGGAACATGTATACAATGAAGAACATCTGTAGTAGGGAGAAAGCAACTAGATGGGCTCGGGTGGAGCTCTTCTTTAAGTGTACACTCTGATCTCACGTTTGCCGGTTTCTCTCATGTGTAACTAGGTTTAATCGCTCGGGCACCGTTGTAGGAATCAGTTCACTTAGTGTTGGCCCAAACCTCCCGTAGTATCCGACTCGACAGTCTCTCCAACATCACCAATTTGTGAGAAAGAAAAAAAAAATAACAACTCGATCTATATACAATAAAACAGATCTATACAAATGAATATCAACCGTCGGGTGACCAAGATGTTGGGAAATTTGTTCAATAATTGAACCGGCCACCTATCTAAGATAGTTGCGACTTCGTGTCCCTCCTGCTGATGCGGCTGGTCAAAATGATGTGGAGGGGCCTGGAACTGATCGTGCTGAAACATCGGTTTGCTGCATCGAGGGTTGGTCAAAATGGTCTTCAGCTTCGGGCATCTCGTCGTCCTCTTCGTCATCTTCTTCCTCTTGTTCCTCTGCGTCGTCACCCTCATCATCACCGAATTCTGGGAATACACCTGCTTGGGTCAATTGATCTGGAGGAAGCCAAGTGTCGGGGTCGCCTGTATCGAATGAAGAACCGATCCAACTTGGCAGGATGTAAACCGGGGCTTTGTCAGCGTCTAACCAACTGTACGTGCGGGTTCCCCGATCGAGCAACATCTCCATCCGGATGAGAGTGTCACAATCTAGCAGGAAGTTCGGTGGGGTGTCGACAGGTATGTACTCGGGATCCGGGAAGTCTAGACCGACGGCTCGACCTATGATTGTGATAAGTCCCCCGATGAAAATTTCCCCTGAGGAACGTTGGCGTATGGAGTCACATTTGTCTAAAAAGAAGCCTGAAAAACTGAGGGAGAGTGCATGCCTCATGCTTCGGAGGAAAAATAGCTCACATCTGTTGATTTGACCGGGCTCGAGACGCCCGAAGATACTCGTCGTAAGGACTCGGTGAGCAATTCGCCAACAGGGTGAACGATGTGCTTGGCTCGCTGTCGGCTTGGGTTGAAGGTTGGGAGACCGGAAATTTGCATCCAGAAGTTTGCATCAGGGCAACGCAGAAAATCTTGGTACTCTTGACTTTGGGGGCTGATGCGGAACGGATCGTCTATACCCATGATAGAATCAAGCTCTGCGTATGTGAGTCTATGATGTTCCCCTTTCAACTGGAATGTGAGGACTTCCGTGTCATCATCTCGTGCATATGTGCTAAGAAATTCCATTGTGGGTTCCTCGTAAGTTCTGTCACAAAGTCGAAGAAAACCACGCCAACCGAGTTTTATGAACAAATGGTATACACCATCATGCACCCCAAGCTTTTTCATGGACTTTTTGTGGTAGAATTTTGTCGGCCGGATTGCGCGACCCCGAAGATTGGAGCGATAGGTTTTGATCTCAGCATTTGTAAGGGAAGGATCGCTTCCCTCTTCTCCTCTTTTTTTTCGTTTACCGGCTGCTTTGCGTGATGGACCGGCGGTATCCTTTTTGCGGGTTAGGATCGATCGATGATCCATGGGTGCGTGTCCGAGCCGTGGTTTTGCCCATTTTCGAAACCTACAATATCAAAAACAACTTCACCAACGTAATCCCTCACCTCACCACTCTCAAATCAATGCAACTATCTTTAGACCGAACACAAAAAAAATCCAAGAAATAATGACACCCAACTTTTGACAATGTAAAATTGTTTCAACAACAACACTCGGTTAATTTGGTAATCCCAACAAAAATTCGGCAGCAATACGAGACAAAATGAGAAAATCCCAACCAAAGTTTAAACAATTTTTGAACAAATTTCCAAACAAATTAACCAATCTCAACCTTTCTCAAATCAATGTTTCCAAATAAACCGGGCAACAACTAACGATCTTAGGCAATTTCCAAAGCATAATTGAATGCAATTACTGAATTGAAACAATGCAATGTAATAAAAACCAAGGAAAGAGAATACCCGTTTTATCCCAAAATTGAACTTGAACCCGGAATCCGCTACCGTGCACCCCAAGCTTTGGTTATTCGTGGGTGCCTAAATGCAAGACTTGTTCATTGAAGGGATATTTTCAACTTGGTTTTTGTGAAAAATCCGGCGGCGGCTCGTGGTGGCTCAAAAATTATGGGAAAATTTTTTTGTGAGATTTTGAGGTTTTGTTTGGTTAGATGTAAAGATCCCCGAAAAAGAAACACTTTGGTGGTGTCGGAATTGCGAGAGGTGGTGGGAGTTGGCCGGAAAATGGCCGGAAAGTCGCGAGATGGGTGGTGGTGGCGCCCCTAGACCCGACGATGGATCGGAGTAAACTTTAGGTGGGGTTTGTAGAGCACGGAAAATGGTGAAGAATGGTGGTGGTCTCGTCGTATTCCGACCGGTGGAACTCCGGGAAATCAAATTTTTGTGAAAAGTGGGTGTATGTGTTCTTGAGAGTTTGAGAGAGAATAAGAGGGTTTTGAGAGAATGAAATGAAGAAGAAGAGTTGCTGGAGGTTTTTAATCCATATACAAGTGTGGTCAACACCCGGTCAATGTTAGTCAACTCATTAAACCACCTGGTCAACGAAAGTCAAAGCTGGTCAACAAAATAGGGGATAGTCGTCAGAACAGCACGCGGGTCGCGCAGAGAGGGCGCGCGGGTCGCGCACATGTTGCAGTTTGGATTTGATCTTTGTTGCATGCTGAAGACCGGCCGCGCACACCAGCCGCGCACCAGTGCGCGGGTCGCGCAGACTCCTGCTCCCGGAAATCGATTTTTCTCTGTTTTCTTCCGTTTCTTCACTAGTTCTTGATCCCAAATGCCCCAAACACCTAGAAACTCTTGATTTCTTCAAAAATGACTTCAAAAGACGTATCAAAACATTTTCAAAACTCCTTTATTCGAACGTAGAAACACGAAAGCATAAAGCTTTTCCAAAAATGCCTCTCTTTAACGTCTTAGGCGAGACGTCCTTCTAGCTTGGTTCAACACTCCGGGACATCCAAGTGGATGACTTCAATAACACTTGCATTAAAACTTTCATAGAATGGCTTTAATCGGTGCCCGTTAACTTTGAAAATATGTCCCGTTTCTTCACTTTGGATTTCCACCGCTCCATGATCAAAAGTCTTTATTACAACAAATGGGCCAATCCACCTTGATCTTAATTTGCCCGGGAATAACTTCAACCGTGAATGGTAAAGTAAGACCCTATGTCCCGGTTCAAAATTCTTCCGGGTGATGGACTTGTCGTGGAAGAGCTTCGTTTTCTCCTTATAAATCCTTGCGTTTTCATAGGATTCGTTTCTCAATTCTTCTAGCTCTTGGAGTTGAAGTTTCCTATGCCTTCCAGCCTCGTCAATGTCGAAGTTGCATTTCTTGACCGCCCAAAATGCTCGGTGCTCTAACTCGACGGGAAGATGACAAGGTTTTCCGAAAACTAATCTGAAGGGCGACATTCCAATCGGGGTCTTATAAGCGGTCCGATATGCCCATAAGGCATCGTCGAGTCTCAAACTCCAATCCTTCTTTGTCGGATTCACCGTTTTCTCTAGAATAGACTTCACTTCACGATTCGACACCTCCGCTTGACCATTCGTTTGAGGGTGATAGGCAGTGGAGACACGATGAGTCACGTGATACTTCTTCAATAGAGCCTCCATCATTTTGTTGCAAAAGTGCGTCCCTCTATCACTAATCAAAGCCCTAGGCACACCAAATCTCGCAAAAACATTAGACTTTAAAAACTCGATAACCGTTTTGGCATCGTCCGATCTTGTGGCTTTGGCTTCAACCCATTTAGAAACATAGTCAACCGCGAGTAAAATATAAACGTTGCCAAATGACACGGGAAATGGGCCCATAAAATCAATCCCCCATACGTCAAAAATTTCACAAACAAGGATTGGATTTTGGGGCATTTGGTTCTTTTGAGAAATGTTTCCCGTCTTTGGCACCGCTCACAACTTTTGCAAAACATATAACAATCGCGTGACATGGTTGGCCAAAATAATCCACATTCAAGGACTTTTCTCAAAGTCCGGCTAGGTCCGAAGTGTCCCCCACAAGCAAATTCATGACAAAATTGCAAAATGGATTGGTGCTCTTGTTGGGGCACACATCGCCTAATGATTTGATCGGGACAATCACATAGTATTTTGCATCACTTTTCAACTTGTCTTTTTGAGAACGCGTGAATGTGTCGGGATACCTTTTTGTGACCAAAAAGTTAACGATATCGGCATACCAAGGAATAGATTGGGTAAGGGAAAAGAGATGCTCATCCGGAAACTCGTCCCGCAATGGGAGAGGAGTTTCATTTGAAGTGATCCGACTTAGATGATCGGCAACGAGGTTCTCGCATCCGCTCTTATCCCGGATTTCCAAGTCAAATTCTTGTAACAGTAGGATCCACCGGATGAGTCTCGGCTTTGCATCTTTCTTCGTCATCAAGTACTTAAGAGCTGCGTGATCCGAATACACTATGACCTTGGTACCAAGTAGGTATTGTCTAAATTTCTCCAAGGCGAACACTATGGCCAATAGCTCCTTCTCCGTGGTAGAGTAGTTGCTTTGGGCATTGTCTAGTGTCCTTGATGCATAATAGATCACATGGGAGGCCCTCCCATTCTTTTGACCCAAAACGGCGCCAATCGCATAGTTGCTTGCATCGCACATGATCTCAAAAGGGAGATCCCAATTTGGTGCTTGCATGATGGGAGCGGATGTAAGCAACTCTTTGAGCTTGTCAAAAGCTTCTTTGCACGCCTCATTGAACTCGAAATCGACCTCCTTTTGCAAGAGTTGGCACATTGGTCTTGTTATCTTTGAAAAATCCTTGATGAATCTTCGGTAGAAACCTGCATGGCCCAGAAAAGAACGAACTTCCCGAACACAAGTCGGGTAAGGTAAGCTTTGAATAACATCAATTTTTGCCTTATCTACCTCAATTCCTTTTTTAGACACAATGTGACCCAAAATGAGACCTTGACTCACCATGAAATGACATTTCTCAAAATTCAAAACCAAGTTTGTTTCAATGCATCTTTTTAAAATTTTTGTGAGATTAGTCAAACATTCTTGAAAAGAGTTGCCATGTACCGTGAAATCATCCATAAAAACCTCAATTATGTTTTCAACATAATCCGAAAAGATACTAACCATACAACGTTGGAAAGTGGCCGGGGCGTTACACAATCCAAATGGCATTCTCCGGTATGCAAAAGTACCAAATGGGCATGTAAATGTTGTCTTTTCTTGGTCCTCCGGTGCCACCGGGATTTGGTGAAAACCAGAGTACCCGTCTAGACAACAATAATGGGATTTCCCGGCCAACCTTTCTAACATTTGGTCAATGAAAGGCAATGGGAAATGATCTTTTCGTGTGCTCGCATTGAGTTTGCGGTAGTCAATACATACTCTCCACCCGTTTTGCACACGGGTGGGAACCATCATACCTTTGTTGTTCTCGACCACCGTGATTCCCGTCTTCTTTGGAACGACTTGCACCGGACTCACCCACTTGCTATCCGAGATTGGATAGATCATCCCCGCATCAAGAAGCTTTAATATCTCTTTCTTCACGACTTCCATCATTGGTGGATTTAGCCTTCTTTGCGCGTCTCTACTTGGCTTGCATTCATCCTCCATTAAGATTTGTGCATACAAGTGGAGGGGCTCAAACCCTTGATATCCGCAATCGTCC